ATATATACTCATACCGATTTATATATATATATATATACTCATACCTATTGATGTATATATACATAAATGAACGTTTGTGTATTTTAGATGCAAGCAAATATGATTTTTTTTACGTGCAATGTTGTACTCCTTGCTGCTGATATCTATTGGCACACTACAGAATTGAATATTGATCGACCTTTGGAGTCTACCCATGATAGCTTCTCGTGTATGTTATTTACAATTCATGGAATCTCTTAAGTACGCTTATGACTCCTTGCATTACGCAGTGCTTAAAGACGACAATCTATGCAACACTGGCACTGTCCGCATATTGTTGCACAAGCCCACATTACGTACTGTGGATAACGAGCTCCTGCTTCACTTAACGTGTTGTGCACACAGAGGCGTACGCATGCAGGTATACTATGCTCTCGCATGGCCGTGGAAGATCTGCACGTTGGTTCTGCCCCATCGAGCGGATTCATGCGGTTCAATGGAGGTAGCAAGACACACAAAGAAGCACGGGCTCACCCACGTGGCTCTAGAAATGCACCCCGAAGTTCGGAGGGGTCTTCTAGCCGACCGCCCAGGCCCCTACAGCAGGGTATGTTTCTAACCTGCTAACTTGAAATGTATTGTGTAGTGTACCATATCGAGTGTCTCACTGTTACTGTATGATGTATTGATTTGATGTCGCACTGGTTTGCTGACAAATTACGGATGTAAGCCGGCTAACCTTCTGCCCATGATGCTCTTCTGATTCGTGCGTGATGTAGAAGTTGCCGATGGTGACCTCGAGCCCGAAGTACACAGCACAGACACTCACAGGGTCAAGGGTGAGGTTATAGGCACCACATTTGAGGGTGAACCTATTCCAGGCCACCACACACACTCGAAGAACCCAAAGTGGAGCGCAGCATGGGACGATGGGTTGAAGTTGGATATGTTCTTGAGCTTGTGAGGACGCATACTTAAGGGGTTGTTTGTTCCGATATGTATATATATATATATATATATATATGTATATATTATATATATATATACACATCCACACACACACATATATATATATATATATATTGTGAGGACGCATACTTAGGGGGTTGTTTGTTTCGCGATATATATCTGATATAGGCAGACAGTGCCTCACAATGTTTTTGTGTGTGCTCATAACCAACGGATAATATTCTATTTGCGTGCGAGCTCTATCCCTTAACTAGTAGCCCGCATTGGATATGTATGGTGTGTAACCAGGTAGTCTTCATGTTGATTCCTGCCATTGACTGTAAATGCACCAACATTATATGTGTTGGAAGCGCGTGCACACACATGAACGGAGAATTGCATAAGCTATACGACTGGTGGACCAAATATACATATCCCAAACACAAATCCCCAAATCAGTTCAGTACGGACGAGTGCATCAAGTGTGTGGAAAGGCTTCAATACACCTATTGTGCATGTCGTTTCTGACTCTAATACGCGGTATAGTCAACGTAACAGAAAGCCTCCAGTCTCTGTGCGGTACTGCCTGAGTGGGACGAGCGCTGTATCGAGAGAGTGGGCGGATTAGCGTAGAACGGACACGACGCAGCACTTACACAGAAGAATGGAGAATAAGGTGACGCACATTGCGGACATAAATACTCGCAGTTTACAGGCTGAATACTCACAGTTTACAGGCGGAATACTCCCATTTTACAGGCTGCTCAGTGATGAAGAGATAGACCGATTGTCAAGGGAATGTTGCAGAACGTAGTTGCAGGGGTCGTGCCACAGTCTAGGACCCTTTGAGTATGCATACGGGGGTGCAGCACGTCAGGCATACACACGTGGTTATACCACACCTGCGCTTGTGGCCTAATCTGTCATACTTGCATCTCAAATAGATATGGACTCTATAGGATATAGCTAAATAGGTATCATCCCGAACTCCTATGCGTGCGTGGCTACGGCGTCTACTACCTGCAATTAGTACAGGTGGTCGTGACTTCCAAGCTATATCCTACGTATTCCTGTCACACTTGGCTTTCGCATCGTAGGCTCGATGTGAGTTGACCCGTTCTCTCACCACCGTTTCGGGCTTGCTCATCGGCGTTATAGCTAACGATGTCCACTCGGTTCTCTCCAGTGGATTGGAATCATGGGACTGTGTTGTGGTATAAAAACATCAGAACGGATATTTATACATGTCCGTGCGATCGTGTTCTGCAGGTGCGCGTTAACACTCAGCTACGTACATCATAACGGTCTATTGGACCACTAAGCAATCGACTTCTATCTGCCAAGGCCTCGTAGTTCCAAGGATACAGATAGATGTATGAGAGCGTGAACACAGTTCCGAATATAATTCTGTCACTTTTGGCGTCCTGAATTTAGAAGCCATCTCGTTGTCCATATCCAGTCGATGGGAATCTGGGGAAGCCTAAACATGCGGTAAAAGATACAGGTTCATGATTGCGAGGCATGTGCATGCAGCTCTGCAATATGCTCGCCCATATAATGAATATCCTTATGCTGATCAGAATTGGAAATCGAAACAGTCCCCAGTATGTAGCTAACAACTCGATGGGTTTGTATGCGCTTCTGTATTCTTAATATGTGTGAGAGAGGCCATCTGCGTGATGTGCTAGCTGGTTATGCACCCTATTTGATATCGGGCAATTCCGCTTGCCTCGGAGCTCACAGTACACAACAAACACCCAACGTAGCGAACTAGCACATTCAGGTAGAACAGAAACCCGTATCTGTATACGTATGCTCAGCTACAGGATCAGATTCTCAGATGAGTGATAATTCTCTAGTTTAGGCAGCGCGTCGCTCATGCACGATCTTCATGTACACTCCCAACATGACGGTCCATAGCAACGATGAACTAGATCTTCCTTTAACTCAACCTATATATCGCATCCATATATTAATCCGCTACAAGCAAGTTGTGTAAAGTATTATCTGCACCAGATGTAATTGTTCGGCATGATGAGTCCATCAACGACTCTTAAATTCTAAGGCGTGCGAATATCAAAACCTGAAGTATGTGCACAGGAGTCGTCAAACCTCTTAAAATGAAGGAAATCGATGCAACAAAACACAACTAAGTGAGCTGTATTCCTAATTATATTCTAGCAAGTGAATAACAATTAACTGAGCCACACAGCTAAAAAGCGATCGTGCATCTGTACAAACGGGATACAGTCATACATCAGGGCTGTTTTAATATATTCTTAAACTTAAAACCCATATTCTTTAATTACGGACTAGCAAGTATCATAAAGGACATAATGCAGTATACTGCTCACTCATGGGATGAATCGCCATTTCTTTCGTTTTGTACTCGTTCAACTCACGCGCGATCTCGGGCAAATTCTCGACCACACGCTGTCCTTCGTCATTCTCTCGTATAGTTGTTTCGTCGTCGCACTGCCCACTCCTGTCGTATTGGCTGGCTGAATATGTGCGAGCCCTCTTCACATTTTTATGGAAACGTACATGATTAATTTGGCACAGGAAGCCCTCGGAACATCCAGTTCGGCCACCTCTACAGATAGACATACATTGCTCGATGTTTTGGCATATCCTCTCGATATCGATGTTGTCAATATTATTCATGAGCTGGACGGTGATATCCGTCAACGAGGGTTGATTCATCATTGACATTTTGTCTGATATTATTTTTATTTATTTTTTAATATAAAAACAAAAATTAGAATATGCTCGTCGTCTTGTTCGATGTTTATTTTATAGCAAATAAATGTATTATAGACTGTGTTGTCGCAGACTATTTATGGTGATTATTTACAGCCTTCTGTCTACACTACACTACAGTTCTACACAGAAAAACTACTCACACACACATGAGGTAAATAATGATGTGAGAAGTGACACATTGTGATATCAGATACATACTGGAGCTTGAGAAGTCTGAGATCTCAGAAGACTCGATACATATTTACTGAGATATTGTTTTCTTATACAAAAAACAAAAAGAAATGTATCGAGTGTAGGGAGAGTATTTTGTTTTAATAAACAAAATATTCACACAGCGTCACAGCTGACACTTGACAGGGCCACTGAGACTTATTAACGCAGTTGACAACTGACACTCTGACAGTCTGACAGTATCAACTGACAAGTGACAGCACTGAAAACTGATATCTCTACTACTGACTATTGAGCTGACCGAGGAACACATACAAATAAACGTAAAAGTGCATATTATTATTTTCAACGTTTTATGCACGTATTTATTATTTTAGGAAATACAAATATATGTACATATTTAAAATACCCTTTTTTTAAATACGCCATATTTATGAAAAAAATTTGGCATATATATTTCATATTTATCATTTTCCTAAAAATATATTTCGTTCATTTTTCATATTTATTATTTTTCTAAAAATATATATATTACGTATTTATTATTTCTCATGTATAATTTCCTCATATTTATTATTTCTCCTATATTTCCACATAATATACTTTTAAGAGCATATTAATATTATGTACTGACAAAGCTTGCTATTTAGTATGGGTGACGATAGTTGATACTAAAAGTTACAAACACATTGATAAACAGTCCTTGTGTATGCACAACACATATGCACAACGTAGCATAGTAATCTACTAAGTATGAACATATATATGAAGCTTACACTTGGTTTATGTACACTAAAAAAGTAAATGGTCTATAGTCTATATAATAAATAAATCAAGAGTTATATGACATCTAAACACGCATTTTTATAATGTTATTGTTCTGAGTCATAGAACTCGACAGAGATCATTTAACAGTGAAGCAGGAAGATGTACAGATTAAGTTACACTTGAATACTGTGCACGGGGGTTGCATATTTCGGCATGTGGTCTTATATTGTCACTGTATATAAGTCAAATAAACTAACGATCAATGAGTTTGACTGGTATATTTATATGATATGTGATTGCTTGTCAGTATTTCAACCACAAGTTTAAAACAGGAAAAAAAAAATTGCCACCTTTTTTTGTTCCAGAAATCAATCAATTTTCCAATTGGTGACAATTTGCCACCTTAATTGAAAAAGGTGGTCAACATGCATCGAGCGGAAACAGGTTCGCAAATATAAATATATATTGTACATATGGCATATTTCCTAAATATGCCTTATTCAGAAATATGGCATATTTTAGAAATATGGCATATTTATAAAACAATATGGCATATTTCAGAAATATGGCATATTTATGGCATATTTTTAAATATGACGTATTTCAATTTTTTTATACCAAATACTATTACTTTTGCCATATTCCTGAAATCAACACGCGTATTACGTATCTTTTCCAAATTTCATATCATATTTCATATTTCATATTTAACGTTTTCTGTGCATATTTATTATTTTAAAATAATAATATGCCAATTTTTCGCCATATTTATTATCGAAAAATATGTGTTCCTCCGTCAGCTACTGAGTACAGACTACAGAGTAAATACGTATTTACTGCTAGTAGTAGAGAGAAAAAGAGCGACTCTCAGGCTACAGTAGTACAGACAATAAATACATAAATAGCCTTCTTAGAAAATAAACACAGAAGGCTATGAAAAATTGAAAATTGAAATAGGGGAAAAAATACATATTGTGTATTTACTCTCAACTACAGTGTGTATTTAATCTATTAACGGTGATAGTTTTTACACAGTCACGACTCACGCTCTCGCAGTATTTACCGGCCTACTGACGAATCAAAAATTCACCATTAAAAAAATATAGTATTCATGAGAATGTTCCTGTTCTTTTTAAATTTATATATATATTTATTTCTTCACTTGCCTCCTGTGTGTCATACCTTAAAACAATCGTACCACTTTTCGTTTTTGCTCTTCTTTTTTTCACAAAGTATTGTGTTCAATTAGTAGGCTATGAGTATTGCTCAAGAGTTTTCAGAAGGCTATGAACATAGCCTTCTGTTCTTTTTCGAGAAAAAGGACCAATAGCCTTCTAATTTATTCAAAAAACCGAATGCTATGAAGAAGGAAGCTATTTATGAATTCAAAATTCATAAAGCACAATATTCGTCCTCTCCATCTATGAGATAATGAGATTGAATGATGACCGTCTGACCGTCCATACTCCCCAGTCCACTTTCGAGACTCCAGACTCCAGAGTCCCCAATGCCCCAGGGGCCCAGCCTCCAGAGCCCCAGGGGCCCAGCCTCCAGAGAGTGGCCCAGACTCCAGAGAGTGGCCCAGCCTCCAGAGAGTGGTCCAGTCCCCACGAGGCGCCAAGCGGTCAAGAGGCCACGAGTCTACGACCCCACCGACACACCGAGAGTGGCGAGTGGTACAGGCCGACAGGCGCACCCTGACTCATGGCGGCTGTCGGCCTCTCAGACTCCTTTCACTACTAGTACTACTAGTAGTAGTAGAGAGAGAGATAGAGCCAGGGCCCAAAACCCTAAAACCGCCAGTCGCCAGAGTTCAGACTCATCACTTAACACGGACAGAGTATGTCCAGTGACTGTCCGCTGTTCAGAGAGGAGAGTCAAATGTCGAAAACTCCCAGTATATAAATAGGTACATATTTGTATTTTATTTTGTTGCGCCAGTGTTCAATTTATAGCTATGGCTTTTGTATTTAGCGTAATTTATCTTTTTTTAATTTATATTTCACTGATACAGTACATATTCTCTATTGTAATGTTTTTCTCCTATTTGTTTTAAACAAAAACAACCACAAAAACATTATGTACACCTATGTCTATTTAAAATACACTTTTATTATATCATTCTAATATGACAGAATCCAGAGGCGTATGGGAGATATTTACGTGATATACATATGCAGAAACTTGCAATTATGCGTAATTGTTCACAAATATTCATAATTGCATATAGATATATGCAAATGCATATATAGATACATATACAGATACACACACATTAATATAAAATACAATAGATATATATATATATGATTGTCCATGTATATGTATTTGTTTATACTATATTTGTATATAAATTTAAAATTATATATATATATATATTTATTACATTCACACACGGATATATATATATACATACTCTATATATAATAAAATATAGAATAATATATAAATATATACACTCACATATATATATATATAAATACATATATATATAAAAACATATGTATTATGCGCGCTTCTGACGCGCCGAATGTGCTGTTGATACTTGGATATTATGCAAGCTAATAATATACGTTCCTTTTGCTATCCATAGTCAAATGTCGTGCTATTATTAACCGTCAGATATTTGACGTCAATTGCCAGATGTTGCACTATTTGTTCTATCTCCATAGCAATTGATAGCCTGACTTATCTGTCAGAATTGCTATCGATTTCTTGTGTTGTGCGCGATTTATATCCGGCGTTCCCATGAGCGGGTGTCCTGCAAAGTTTAAGTTTGGTCCCAGTTGGTTCGGGTTGCTCAGGAGATGTGGGTGGGTGTTCGCCTCAGCCTGGCGTGTTCATTCTAGAGGTGAGTCCTTACAAGTATCACAACTTATCCTCTGGAAGAAGTTAGAAGCAGAGCTCCACTTATGGCGCAGAATTTATCATCCGAGTTGGACTACACGTCCTTCTCGGGAAGCGCCGGGGTCTACCTGTGTAGTATATATACACGTGTGTGTAGATAGATACATACACTTATACACATATGTATATCAGCGTTACATGCGTGTGTGTAGATACACGCACCTATACACATATATAGATCAGCGTCAGGGCCCCCACTCACGTAGCGAGACAGGTATTATCGCACTCACCCAAGCCTAATTGCACTATAGTCGTACGGTCCGCAGCCATAGGTAGGTAGTAGTTGGTGTCATACTCGCCATACTGAACGCCTCTCATGCGAGGTACAGTCAGTTCTGAGCCGGGTGTCCTAGAGTGGGTGACCACCGCTGAACACTTGCCCTGGGCAGAGACTGCCATACGCACGGGTAAGCCGCCAGTGTATGTGACAGTCGCCTGTAACCCACACTCGTCTCTGTACTTGCGCCTGAGAAAGTACAGGCCTAAATCGTCCATCTTATACGTGACGATGGGAAAGCTCACGTACGAGTTTATCCACTTAGTCACCGCTCGCAGCCACAGGCTGAGAAAACTTACACCCTCGGACACGGCGAGGTTGGCTTGGTGGAACTGATATGTTGGAAGATTGAATGTGCGTAAAGTAAGTGCGTGAAGTTGATGTTTCAGTTGCCTACCTAGCTTTCACTATATTGGAACATGAACACAGCAAACGGGGACGTGATGTAACTTCACGCAGATATTACCGGGATAGGTTGTACGCACAAATAAAGCACATGAGAATTGGCTAATGTTGCCGCAAATGGGGACGTGATACAACTTCACGCAGATATTACCGGGATATAAGGGGGGTAGGTTGTACGCACAAATAAAGCACATGAGAATTGGCTAATGTTGCCGCAAATGTAGCTATTTAGTCTAACACTCGAATTACAAATTGCTACTAGCACAAGTTGTCCATGAGAGAAACTTATCGCAGTTGTCTCAATTTTTGTATATGTATTTATACAACTCTGTGTATTCATTTACATATACATATACATATATATATATATATATATATATGTGTGTGTGTGTATGACCATATATATATAAAATACATACATATATATATATATATATACATAGAAATACATATATATGTATAAATACAGTATGGGAATACGCATGTACGTATGTAAATATGGTTTTTCTATTATAACATATATATATATATATATGTATATATATATAAATTGGCAGATACATTCATACTATATATAATATATAAATATATGTATATAATATATATATATATATATTTACATATAAATACATACATATATATATATATATATTATATATATGAATACAGTATGGGAATAAGTATGTACGTATGTATGTAAATATGGTTTTTCTATTATAATATATTATATATATATAGGCAGATACATTTATACATACATACATTTATAGATTGATATATTCATAAATGTTATTATGTATGTATTTGGATGATTGCTAATTGTATATATATATGTACATATATACATACTTATATATATATATATATATATACATATACATATATAATAAATGTAAATATTTAGTCTCCTGTCTGAACCAAGTGGTACTTTACAAAACCCGCAATAATGCACACCAAAGACGTCAACATCGATGTATACTACAAAAAAGTCATTTTAAACTTGGCGTTCTATAGATCGGATCATCGCTTAACTATGACCAGTCGTCTTCTCGCGTTTCATGGAATTTTAGGTTCGACCGAATGAGTTTCCGCTTGCAATTATTCATTATGTACTCCCCACAAGAAACCGTATCTCCTATCCCTGCGGACCAATACATAACGAGATATAATAAGATATACGCATCGAACCACATACCATGTAAGGGTCGATTCTTAACAGTAACAAGTTCCTCGCCGTGCGGATGCCCTCCATGTCAATGATCTCAGCTGCTGTCAAGTCACGCGGGTACTTCCACGAATCCACGCTGCACTTATACCCCCCGTCTGTTGCCGATGCACTCTGATCATAGCCGTAGCAAGTAGGGCCGTAGAAGCTATTGAATTCATCCCGCAACTGTTGCTGGGTGGCAGCATCGAAGTATATCTGCGTAGCCATTCTCGGTATAACATATATAGACCTTTGACCGTACAAGCGCTCCATATTGTCTTCGAAGGATGTCTTTTCTAGATCGGTCAGGAGCTTGCCACCTGCACCGGCTTTCACTTGGGCCACAAAGGGGTGCCAGGGGTTCTCAGGCTTTAGGTCTGCACGCGAGTTGTCGCCAACCGCAAAACGGTGTCCGGCTTCCAACATGGCACTGTACATCACAGGATAGAGGGGAAAGGTATTGGTGTGTAATGTTGATATTTTACGCCGTACAAAATCTCGGATCTTTCTGATTATAAGACAGCAAGCCACCTTTCACGTCCAAACAGAGGAAAGAAGTAGATCCGACAAACAAGGAAAACATACCTAACGGATTCGGTGTAGTTCAGACCCGAAATTCCCGGGGTCACGATGGAATTTGGCGACCAATTGTTCGGATGGGAATATGCATTAAGCACTGTAGCAGCGATGTGTAGATTTCGCGTTGCCATTGAACGCCATTTGTATCTTGAAGTTCGATCCAGCACTGCTTGCGGCATTGATTCTATCCTGTTCGGCAGCGTGGAATTCATAGTCGGTTGCTGTGTTACGGTACCTTGGCCCCGAGTTGTATGTTCTGGTATCGAGATAGAAGTCATCTATCTGCGTGTCTAGCAGGAGTCTCCGTTGACCCATAAATAGACCTTTCGTAACCCATGGCAACCAGGAGTGTGCGAGAGCGGGGCCGAGTAGGCCGTTGGTGTTCGCTGTGAAGAAGAAATACATGATTTCTACACCGGAAACAACATTACGATGGATCACCCCTCCCAAGGCGGTCGAGATAGCGCCAACAGGCTCTGTCACCTTTCCGATGTCCGTACTGGCCACCTCGAAGTACATACTGAGCAACGGTAGGATATGTTTGTCCGTGTTTAAAGCATCATCTAGATAACCTGGGACGATCCAGTAGCGGTTATTCGTGAACTCGTTTTCGTGGCCGACCTTCATAGCCACACCTGGTTGAACAGCGTTATTGATTCCCTCCAACGAAGCCTCCACACCGAAGGCCACTGTCGTTGCTGCGGTGCTTAACCGTCCGTCGAGTCCGTTTATCGCGTCATCATCTACGTGCAATTGAACACAAAATTAGGTTCCAGGATTGTGTAGATTGGAACAAATAGTTGGATTGGTTGCAGTGAAGGTATAGTTTTGGGTCACACACACGCGATATCCAAAGTGAAGAATTGAGATTGCGCTTACCGAGATGTGTCGGGCCTGAATTGAGCATTACTCTCCTCACGTCATACTTCGCACAGTAGTCGTCCAGAATAGCTTTTTGAGCCCCGATGCCGTTACTATTCCAATTACCGTTGGAAGAATACGCCAATCTTGCATGGGTTTGGATAACTTTAAATGCAAAAAAAATAAGTATGAATGAGGTTATACTCTGTTGCAGAGACCAGTCAATAAAAAAACATAGCGAACAATTATTCTCGATAGATATAACCTTAACCAAACAAAAAGAAACTAGCTTGGGGTGCAGAGACATACTTGAGTTGTATTTTGGTATTGACGTGATGGGGTCAAGAAGTTCAATTTGCAAACTACCTTGAGCGTCGAGCGATACGAGATCATAATTCACTCCATACGCCTACTCAAAATATTAATGTGCTCAAAGGTTAGAATACGGATATTTGTTGAAGAATGATTAGCTGGCTCAGCAAAGCGCTAATATAAATAATCGATATATCATTTTGTGAATGAGAATTACCTACGCCATCTCTATCGGCAGTTTGGCCAACGATGCATCCGAGGAGAGGATCAGAGTCTTCAACCCAATCTCGAAGTTCAAAACACTTTGCGCCCAGCACATTTTAAGTATAGTGAGATAGCAAACTGCCGTAAGCATCGTATACCTGATGAACATTGTGGTAATCGTTATGGGTTGGCGGCTTGCCTTCAGTCTGTGTTGTTCTGTGATGTGAACGAGAGTTGAGCTCGCCTATATCTACTATGTAAATGTCTAGTAAGTAGTCGGTTTGAGCTCAAAAGGAAGATTGTTATGATGCACACAGACTGCACTTTTTTTAAGGGATTTTTTCCTCCTAAAACCTTGTAAACGCATGTGTGAAAGCTATGTAGACTATTCGTAGTTCAAAATCAAATAGGACGTCCACAAGTACAGAGTACGCGACTGCAGCTCAAATATCAACTTTTGTTTGATTTAAAATTGGACAAACAAAAGCTTTAAAGTCTAAAAGCCTATTAGTAAAAGCATACCGACATGCAGCACGTGTTGCGATATCAAGTAATTTCAACAATCCCAGGCAAAATAGATGCATGACAATTGAACATCCGAAGTTCCGAACAATGTGTTCAGTTGTTCACTCACACTGTTCAATACAGTATACAAATGTTTTTTTACAAAAAAAATTCGTTAATAGTTAAAAACACATATGTGTGCAAGTCCAAGACTCCAAGAGAGGAGCTCATAAATTCATAATAGTGTTGTTACGAAGAACGCAGCCGAATCAAAATGGAAGTATGGAACTGGTTGAGGACAAATTCAAAACAGAGAGCAAAATATGTTAAAAATACACATGTACGAAGAACACACAAGTCACAACACCGCAGCGAGCAGACTGCAGAACTACAGACAGCAATCAAAACTCAAATGGAATTGGTTGAGGATAAATAATGAAATATAGAACAAAATAAAAACAGTCTAAACTCTGCACTCTACTTTAGTGACTCTAAATAGTAAATACACCCCAGATGTGAAATGAGATACTTTGATTGCTCTTTTGAGTTGTTTCAGCAATTTTCAGCTAATCACTATTCAGAGACATCACATGAGAACAAAGAGCAATCTATTTTAGTATTTTGTTTCTTCAAACTTCAAACTTCAAACTTGACAGCGGGGGTTTTTTTAAATACAAATATAAACAAAAAACCTAGTGTATACTTTATAGCCCTCTATGTATATTTTAGGGGCCTACATACGGAAAATAAATATTTACTAAAACATGTACGTAAATAGTACGTACTACGTACTGATCAATTAGTATGAATATGCACATATGTACGGCAGAAAAAAAAATAGAGCAACATACATATGCAGAATTTATTTACATATAGCCTGTTCGTCGAATTTCAAAATCCAGGATCTGTCAATGTGTGTACATATGTATTTTACTATTTACAAGTTGATTTTTTATGACAGGACAAATCTCGCAATTGGACATCGATAATCGCCTGTGTTATTAGCAAGATGACTAGTAAAGCGAAGATAGACAGCAGCCACATTCACAGGAGTCAGCTCGGCTTCGACAATCGATACCTATAGAGCATTTTTTTAGTACTATATTTAGTTGTGTTTCACATGGGACACATTTTCGCTGCCCGACGGACTGTATGGTTGAATTCTTGTTCTATCAACATGGTTTTGTTCTGACAGAGTTGATAGAAATATATGAATCTACATGATTGTAGTTGGTTGTATATTTATAGGATATGCTATTATTTGTATGCACATATATAAATGTGTATCTCTATAACCATATATGTATGCATATAAAGAATTAGCAATCATATATACTCTATGAATGTGTGTATGTATGACTGCTTCTACCTACTATATATATATATATATAGATATATATTATACATAGATATATACATACATACAAACAAACAAACACACACACACACATATATATATATATATACAAATACACCCATATGTGTACCTATATATATGCATATGCACACACACACACACACACACACCCACCCACACATATATGTATATATATATAAATATATATATATACATAGACATCAAATATTTACATCAATACATACATATATATCATACATACATACATACATAC